ATGACATTTCGTACTAAGGTCTGGACGTGCTCCATTGAGCTCCTTAAACAGGTGGGAGGGGTTAACTCCTTTTGCAGATTGAAACGATTGGATCTGAGTTTACCGTGACGTATGTAGTGCGCCCGAGTCTGTTGTTATTTAGCATTTAGCCTAGCTATCTCCTTTGCCGCTGACGGAGCCCGTGGGGAGTAGCGCCACAATTTTTTCCAGCGTTTACATTTGCTAAACATTACCCTTGCTCCGGCTTCAATTTCTTAATAGAACCAGACCGGATTACTGCCTTGAAATTCTGTCCATAAAGACTCCTTCAGCCTGACGGCATCCCTCACTGCCGGTGTCCACGACCGGGTTCAGGGGTTGCCGCCGGGACCAGCACCAGAGACCTTGCGACCTTGCGATAGAGGAAGAAAACATGGTCCACCCAGACTCAATGTCCCCCTTTTCCGCCAGGACCTGGGATAAGCTCTCCCGGAGGTATGAGTTGAACGTCCGTCTGACAGGGGGCTCAGCGAGACGTTCCCAGCAGACCCTCACTACACGCCCTGTGTCTGCCAGGTCTGACCGGCTTCTTCCCCTGCCAGAGGGGCGGAGCTGTCAACCGATCACCAACTCTGAGGACACAAAGGACATGGTGCTTCTTCTGCTGTCCTACTTAGAGGAGAGAGAAGATGTCTTGTTCAGTTATGTAGACCAGACATGCCTGCAGGAGAAGTGCCAATGGAGCAAGTTAGTAAGCTAGTAAGTAAGTAAGCTTTTATTTATATACCGCCTTTTCACGGCACATCGGAGTCTCAAAGCGGTTTACGATTGTTGGGTGGGTGTGCCAGTACAGGAGGCACATGCCATACCTATTGTACATATTTTTAGTGGTAGGGGAAACCGGAGCACCCGGAGGAAACCTACGCAGACACGGGGAGAACATGCAAACTCCACTCAGAAAGGCCCTGGTCCGGCCGGGATTCGAACCCAGGACCTTCTTGCGGAGAGGCGAGAGTGCTATCCACTCAGCCACCGTGCCGCCGTCAAAGTTCCCATGACTCCTACCATCATTGTGTGGGGTGAGAACTTTCTTTTATTCTTTTGCTTTAATTTGTCCATTCTTTGAACCCATTTCTATATTGATGCTAAGGAGTCAAAATGCTCTGCCTGGTGAAATGTCATTTTACTTGTATTTAACTCATTTGGAGTGTGGATCGTATGATCGTCCAGGACAACGTTGGCTCCTTTGTGTCGGCCATTTCCATGATGTTTGGGAGCTATTATTGCTTAAACATCCATTATCCAACACATCTGGCCGTACCACACCACAGTACAAATTACATTTCGTGCTAAGGTCTGGAGGTGCTCTATTGAGCTTCGTGAACAGGTGGGAGGGGTTAACTCCTTTTGCAGATTCAAACGATTGGATCTGAGTTTACCGTGACATATGTAATGCGCCTGAGTCTGTTGTTTGCATTTAGGCTAGCTATCTTCTTTGCTGCTAACGGAGCTCGTGGGGAGTAGCGCCACAATCTTTACCAGCGATTACATTTGAAGTAAGTAAGTAAGTAAGTAATCTTTATTTATATACCGCCTCTCACAAACCAGAGTAACAAAGCGGTTTACAATTGTTTTTATTTTGGGCACTTGTCCTCTCACTCCACACAGAGATGGGAGCGGGGTCGCCGAACAGGAGGCGCATGCCAGAACTATTGCACATGTTTTTAGTGGTAGGGGGAACCAGAGTACCCGGAGGAAACCTACGCAGACACGGGGAGAACATGCAAACTCCACTCAGAAAGGCCCTGGTCCGTCCAGGATTCAAGCCCAGGACCTTCTTGCTGAGAGACGAGAGTTCTATCCACTCAGCCACCGTGACCTGATTACTTTACTATCGCATTCTTCGCCACCACCAAACCACAACCTGCCCGTTCGGCGCAAACTCTTGACGTCACCGGCACCGACCTACAACGCGCTCGCTGATTGATCGGTTGAAATTCAGCCGATTGTAATCCCCAAGACGGGGACCAGGCCCAGACGTTACATGAAGTGAAATGATGATTGAGTGGAGTGTACGGATGGCTAAGGCCAGGCTAGAGTTTTTGTTGCTGTTCTTTTTTCCCCAGAAGGTATTACATTTGGGTAAAATCAAACAGGAGAAAATGCAGGAATGCTCATTGAAAAGTAGATGTTACTGGTAATAGCCTGGCATAGTCATCCTTACGACAGTATCCACAAGATCAACACTTGATTCAGACACAGGGGCTGTAGTTAGAGGACCTCCATAAGTATTCAGTGAAAGTGATAGTCTGTAACTCTAAATGAATTACACATTTTAGGAAATGTGTTAAATTGACCTCCTGGCCTTAAATGTTGACATAAAATAAGTAATTTTATTAATTCTAATATTACGGGCAAGTCCCGCCTTCCCTGCTCTTAGCTATAGTCCAGAATCCACGATGCCGTCCACTTTAACCAATCGAGTCATGCCAAGGGCTGTCAATCATCAGCGCTAATGCTCGCAGCTGCGCGCATGCTCAGTTGCCTGTTTTTGCGGAACCTCCGAATCAAGCCTTTATAGGCTCTGGAACTTTATGAAAACTGAACAAAGAATTCTGAACATCCGCGCTGAGTTACTCATGTATATACTGAACCTATATCCATAATCAGATCCTCTGCAGATGTGTCCTATAATGTGCAATTCATGATAATAGCTTGTTGCGGGTTTGCCGCGATCGCTTTTTTTGTGCGTAAAAACATTATTTTTTTCATATAAATAAAATAAGTTAAATAATTCTGGAAACCTCCGTGCATGTGTATTAATAATGTGTAATTTGTTATCTGATTAACATTTAAAAGTGTTACGGAAACGTAGGTGTAGACCAATCAGAAAGGAAGGGAGGGAACATGCGTAGGTTTTTTTCTAATCAAGTACCCCTATTTCTCTTTCTGACAAACTCCAGACAATCACTGGAATCATCCTACATGTGTTCATTTTGTAATGTGGGAGGAAACATGCAGGCAGCCAGGACTTTACCCATGACCTCAGTGTGTGTGACTGCTTAGCTCCGCATCACCGTGGTGTAGAGCTAAGCAGTTTGTATTGTAGCACATTTTTTAAAATGTAACATTATTTTTATATTTCAGGTGTTTTTTCTCCATCAACCCAGAGAAGGGAACCAAAATTGAGAAAAGCAAAACCAAACGTCTTAAATGTGAACCACAGAGTCCTTACCTTGATTCAAGAACTTTCAGATCATGAGTGGTGTAATGTCTGAATATGGACTGAAATAAGTAAGGTTTGTGGGCTGCGATGAAGTTTTATGTTGTTGTGACGTTCAATGTTTCAAATTTGTTCTAAACTCTTAAATTCAGCTTAAACCCACATGTATTTTCTGTTAAAGGAATAGTTCAGTTTTTCCCTACAGGAAATGTTCTTACCTTAGGTTAGCCCAGCTGATGTGTACCTTTGGCTCTTTGTGTGTGTGCTGTCTCAGCCACAGTGTACAGATGTAGCTTCTAATGTCACATCTGAGACATTTGAAGCTAGCGAGCTCTGCCATGTTTATTCTATTTTTAAATTCAGTGACGTGAAGTGTTATTACAAGCCACAAGGTGGTGGTGTCTAGAGGCGCGTTCAGACCAAAAGCTTCAAAAAGCTTTTGACGCGCTTCAACTGACGCCGGGATAGTTTTGTCATTTTGGTGCTTGAAGCTTTTGACGCGAGTGACGCGCCTGACGCCGGTGGGAGGAGCTTCTCTGTTGTCTGTGGGAGGAGCTTCTCTGTTGCCTGTAGTCAGGACAGCGGTGGATTTTTCAATGAGCAGCGAGCCTTTATTTGTTATATAAAGCAAAATAACGTTGTTGTAGGGCTTCAACAAAACATGTTCTGGGTTCACCACAGACTTGAGAGGCTGCAGTGTTTGCAGAGTTCCGTCATTTACTCCAGGAGCTGCGTACGGAGGAGTTTCGCTTTCAGCGGTACTTCCGCATGTCACTTGCCCAGTCTGAGTTCTCAAACCCCGGCTCTCGCCTCTCCCTGCCTCTCCCTGCCTCTCCCTGCCTCTCCTCGGTTCTCGCTCACCTCTCCCTGCCTCTCCCTGCCTCTCCCTGCCTCTCCTCGGTTCTCGCTCGCCTCTCCCCGCCTCTCCCTGCCTCTCCCCGGCTCTCGCCCGCCCGGAGCTGCCTTGCTCTGAGCCAGACTCATCGTCAGCCTGTTCTTATTTTAAATAAACTACGTTTACTACACAGCATGTGTACAATGATTTTGTTACTCAGAACGTTACTACTCATACAAATAATATTACTAATAACAATAATGACAATAAAACAGCAGCAGTAGATACATGACTTCTCTCCATGACAGAGACAGACCCTCTGCTGCTGCTGCTCCTCGTCTCCTGATTGGTTGAAGCCCGCGTCAAAGCTTCAAAAGCTCAGCTTTGCTCAGCTTCGGCGTCAGAGGGATTGTTGTGATACGCGAGCGTTTCGCGCGTCAAAAGCTTCAAGTGAGCGCGTATTACGCGCGACTCTTGAAGCTTTTGACGCGCGTCAAGTGACGCCGGGGCTCTCGGCTTCACCTGACGCGCTTCACCATTCACTTTCAATGGAAACCTGACGCTTTTGACGCCGAAGTTAAGTCCGGTGTGAACGCCCCTTAGGAGTTCAGTTCTAGGTGCAGCTGTCAAAGGTACTAAAAGGCCTTTTAGCAGGTCCCTTTAACATCCCGAGCATCAGATATATCTGCCTTCGTTACTCCTGACCATTTCATGCAGTACACTGTGAGTGGGACGTCACTCAGCTGGAGGTGGGAGGGTCTGACAGGTGGAGGCAAGGAGAAACACAATATACAAAATCAAAAGGACTTTGTCCGTAACACCTCCCCCAATAAAAACTAAGGTCTACCCCTCTTTAACTGGAAAACAAAGTGCTTCCAAAAAACACAACATAATTGTGGGAAAGGATATGGATGCCACCACCACCTGCGACCCAAGTGGTGATGTGTGTCCCCAGTCACACGATCAGGCCTCAGCCACAACATTGTCCTTTCCCCTCCTGTGCTGGATACGGACGGTGTGGTCCAGAGTCAGCAGCGCCCCCCGCATCCGCCGTTGATCTGGGTTGGACATCAGGGCCAGGAGAACCAGGTTGCTGTGCTCTGAAGAACAGTGACTGGGACACAAGGCGACCCAACACACACACACAGGCACCGTAGCGCCAGCTGCACAGCCACGGTCACGCCTAACCTGGACAAAACCTTTGATAGCCAAAACACACCAGGGTCGAACTGTCTGATTTCAGCAAGGAACTCTTCAAGGAGTTTGATTGGTTCAGGTATGCCGCAACTAAACACAAGTCCAGCCAGACTGAACTTGCGACCAGCTTTCTGAGAGGTTGGAGGGGACACAGAAGTGATTAATTCTGGCTTCTCACTGTATACCTTGGCCTTGGTGTCATCAGTCCGTCCACCCGAGGGCGCACCAACACCTGCAAAATCAGGAGCAAGCACAGAATTACCGACGTCACTCTGCCTCCCTCTTTTAGACTGAGCGTGGGTCAAAACGCTCATGGGACACACTTTTCCACCTGCACTGTCGCTCCACATGATGGACTTCACCTCATCATTTGGAGACTGGTCACGAGCAGCTACAGGGAGAACTCCAACCACGTGCGCAGGACTAACATAAGCACTATGAGCCTTGGGCCACGTCTCATAGGACCGCAAAATAGCACCTTTCACGCAGTCATAGTCCAAGATGTCTGAGACTGCCAAAGATGCACACGCTTCAGACGCCCTGCCACTTAGGTTGCACTGCAGAAGGATTGCCCACACATCCCTAGGCCATTGTAATGCCCCTGCAATGTGCTCAAAAACACAAATAGGACTCAACCTCCGTCTCACGGAAAGTTGGAACAAGGTGGATGTTTTGAGTCACGTCAAACTCAGGCGCACTGACCACAGGTGACGAGGAAACTGGACTGCGACCCGCTGATTGCAACTCCAATTGCCGCATCCTAAGCGCAGCGTCAGCCTCTATCTTTTTAAAGGCCACTTCGCGAGCAGTAACAGCCTCCGCTTCATTACGCTTTAGCGCAATCTCACGCTTTAGCTGAAACTCACGCTCCTCCTTCTCCCTCTCGTACTTTAAACGAGCAATGCGCACATCCACAAGCACATCACTGGGAGAACGAACTCAGAGACTTCACCTCAGTCTCTTCAAACGGCGCAGAAGGAGAGCCCACCTTTGGCTGCTCCACACCAGGACGCACGGGGGACATCACTGTATCTCCCGCCGTCACCCGTTCAAGCAAATCCATTTTGCTACACAAACGCAATGTCACTTGCGTTGACTCAGCCACCAAGGCTTCTAAAACAAATGTAGCCATCACTCACCGGACGTAAAGTAATCACGGATCCTGATACAGCTGATCCCACTCACAGCTGACCACACCTGCTGCTGCTCTCCACAACGACATGCCTCCTGGGATGTGCCAAGTACGCGCCCGCACACAGCTGCGCTCAAAACTTACGCACACCCACGCACACTCACGGGGAAAAAAAAAAAAGTTATGCAGGGTGCATTAAAGACAATCAAATCCTGTAGTTAAACACAAGAATTGAACCCAGACTCCTACTCAGGAACAACTACACCTAGATATCTTCTGGGACTTGCCGGGCTCGAGGCGTGCAGCCCCCGTCAGAGAATCCACTCCGCCCAGGATTCGTCCCGAAAATAATAAACTAAAACAAAAAAAAGGATGCCCAAAGGAATGGCGAATAAATCAACCAAGCTGGACACCCCCCCTAGTCTAGCTGGGTCAATTCAGACTACAATGCCAGATGCACCCACACACACACACACGACTCACCAAGAATGCACAGATGACTCCCGTGCACCCACCGCAGTTCCACAGAATCCCGGACGAGCCCCCAACTACTACAAGCCACAAGGTGGTGGTGTCTAGGAGTGTGGCTCAATAACAAAATTAAAACCGGGTGTGGAACAGAGACGGGAGGCGGAGGTCCAAAAAGTAAAAGGTTTATTAAAATGGGTGCAAAAAGAACCACTGTTCAGTAGTGATGTGCTGAGCGGACCGAGTCTTCGAAGAGTGGACCGAGTAATCTGGGGGCGTTTCTTGTGAAGTGTGGGTCGAGGCGTGTATTGGTCACGTGTGTGGTGACGTTCGAAGCCTCGCGTAGCGGCCGCACCACGTGACGGTTCATATAGTGCTTCATATCGTTCGGAGAGTGCATTGCTTTGACAGGTGCTTTGTGATCCGCGGCTGTACCACATAGACTGTATTGGCTGTCCCTGTCTGCCTCTATGTGCGTACGTGTGTGTGCGTACGTGTGTGTGCGTGATGTGGAGCAGTCCTGTACTAAGTATAGAGAAACTACTTCATATGAAATACAATTAAAAACTTTTCACTTTTGTAAAACCTCATATATCAAGGCTTCAAGTTATTAGTAATAATACGCTGGATAATACATTTCATAACAGCTGTGCGGCGCAGTCGGTATATGACGGACTCCGAAGCAGAAGATATAGCGTTCGAATCCTGGTCTACCCATAATAAATTTTGTGTTGCAAAGTAAACGTATTTATTTATTGGGAATAAATGGTTTGTTGTGTTTAATTAATCCACCTCTTGGTAGTTTTTCCTCCATTAATCACTTTCTGTAGAACTGTATTACTTTGGATGTGTTTGTTGTATCAACACAATTGACTGAAAGACAATTGAAAATAGTACTGCACTGCAACAGACAAATGAAATAGTTCATAGTTCATGAAGCATCATTTCAAACACAACACGTTAGACCATAGATTGTAAATATACATTTTAACATTAGATCTCACCATTCATTGTAAGCACTTAAGAGTGTTATGTATTTCTTTGTCCACATGATGGCGTAGTGGAGCATGATTCACCTCGAGCCTTCGACTCATGGGCCGAGTAATAGGCTGCGATCCCTCAAGGCTTCATGGGGCTTCATATTGCCATCACTACTGTTCAGATCACAAAACGAAATGCTCTAAAAGGGGTGAGGTACAGACACAGGACCCACTGGTCCAACGGACAGTCGAAGTGGCAGAGAGCGAGGGCCTGGTCTCGATCCCGGCCCTTTATGCCTCCCAGCTGATTACCCACAGGTGTGAGTGGGACGTCACTCAGCTGGAGGTGGGAGGGTCTGACAGGTGGAGGCAAGGAGAAACACAATATACAAAATCAAAAGGACTTTGTCCGTAACAAGTGTAGTTACACAGAATTTAAACATGTTGATTTTCTAAGCGGAATAAAAAGGAAAACTTATGTTGTGAGGCGGAATAATACGAGGAGTACTTCCGCACACAACGCTTCAAAGACTTCTCTCATGCTCACTTCCATCAATAAAAGAAAAAATGGAAATTAATAACTGCGTGACCCCAGTCTGAGCTCGTTACGCTGTTTCTATCTTTTTATTTCTATAGTTTCTATTGACTGAAGTGGGCGGGAGAGAAGTCTTTAGGAGTTGTACGTGATAAAATACAAGTGCCCCTTATACTATTCGGCCACACAACATGGGTCAATTTCTGTGTAACTATAAATGGCTTGCGTAATGGCTTGGATCAGATGGCATCATATATAAGCCAAAAGTCTTATAGTAGTAGTAAGTAAGTAAGTAAGCTTTATTTATATACCGCCTTTCACAGACCAGAGTCACAAAGCGGTTTACAATTGTTATTTTTTGGGCGGCGCATGCCAGACCTTATGCTTATCTCCATCCAGAAATAATGAAAACAAAATTGAATATTTTATTTGACGTTAGTGTTTTACGGTGAAATATTTTGACATTTGTTTAACACAGTCGCAGTATTGACTTTTGGCACTGTACTGTTGTCACTGAATATACAGTAAAGTTTCATTTTCATCATAATTCATTTTGTGAAATGACTCATTTATTGCAGCTTTTACAGTTAAGCAATGTTGAAAGTGCAATATTTTTCAGGGAAATGTCAAAGTACATACAAAAAGCATAGAAAACTTGTAAACTGTACTGAAAAAGATTGTTTTAATAACAAGGTGGTAACGTATAAAAATCATAGTAAACATGTACATTTAGCTGAAAAAGATCGTTTTAATAACAAGGTGATTACATATAAAAAGCAGAGTAAGCATGTACATTTTACTGTAAAAACAAGTTTTAATAACAGGGGGGTTTTGGTAAATATACAGAAAAAAAAACCTCTTTAAATACAATTGTATTATGTAAAATATACAGGTAATTCTGTAACTTTGTTTACATGTCACTGTATTTTTGTAAAAAAATATTCTGGCAACCACAGCTGCCAAATATTTTCCGTAAAAACAACAGATTTTTTTTTACAGTGCACCAATCTCGTCAATCAGTGTCAGTGCCTCATCTGCCTTTGATGCCATGTTTTCTATGGGCATAGATTTGCTTTGCAGAATCTGGTATTTCTTTCTGACTGACCCGATGACCCTCTCAACTTGTATACGCAAATTAGCAATTTTCCAAGTTTCTGCCACCTCATATGGCGTCAGCTGTTTTCTCTAAAATCCGAGTGAGAGTAAGAGACGGGAATGAGCGCTGTGTACTTTAGCTGCTCACACTAGCTGCGTCCAAATTGGCAGAGACTTCTGTGTAGAGGTGTGTGAGGAGGAGCAGCGTCTTCTGTGTGTGCGCGGAGAAGGAGGAGTGAGACAGGTACACATCAAAAACATATTAAAAGCATTAGCAAACAGCATATGCCCTACTTTAGCACTCACTGCGAGTGCAGTTGATTTTGGGCATTCCGTAAAAAGCCTTGCTGTGGCCAGTGTGTGGAGGTGATGGCAAAAATGTTATTTGATGGAATTAAGCACTTCAACAAAAAAAGATCCCCTTATCCTCCACAATTATCATGAGTTGCACCCTCTGCTCTGAGATTTTGGGAGAGGTTTGTGGTGTGTTGTGTAGAAATGAACAAAGTAGATTAATGTTATGTGTGAATTATATACACCTATGTTTAGATTTTTACGACTGTAGTCGTTGTTGTTTAAGGTTTTGAAATAATTTCATATGAATGAAATAGCTTGTATGATGTCCAGACCCTAATCTATTGAACTGATCAAGTAAGTGGACCTGGTGCCAATTTAATTGGGGACCCCTGCTCTAGAAGCTGTGGACATATCTTGAACCTGAACGCTAAATCTTTCAGTGGGAGATTTAGTCTTAGCCTCAGCAGAACCAAAAAAAACTGTTCAAATTTGGGCAAGACAGACAAAGGGCCACAGGTGATGTCAGGTTCACACAGCTTTGCTTTAAATCCAAGAAATTGGGGAGCCCCGTGTAGAACCTAGTCCTTTCTTCATTATTTTCATAGGACTCCTGGCAGAACTGGGTGTCCAGTGCCTTGCTACGAAGATCTCGCTAACTCCACCAAGTTTGCCCTAAGCACCTCCTCCATCTTCTCTATGTCATCAATGGTCAGATCCGTCTAGCATCCAGCATCTGCATAGCTTGCAATATAGCAGAAAGGGAGAATAATTAGGCAGTTCATGAATAATGTTACAAGTTATCTTTTTCACACAACATGCAAGTTCTTGACTGCACAATGTTTACAACTCAGTTGAGGTACACTTAAAAACTATTTGTCTGACAGGCACTTGAAACATATTATAAGAGTACATAGACTTCAAAGAAATTATTACACCACATCTGTAATACAATAATTACAATAACAATGTTGTTGAACATCTTAGTAGTGCAGTGGTTTACCTTGATCATTCTTTGTCCCACTGAGGTCCTCTGACTGTGGGTAGTGTTGTGGCGAGTTTCATATATTAGAATATATTGTACTAAAATTCACTGATACACTTGCAGACAAAGGCCCTTTGTCCTGCACAAAGAGGCCCTCACTTTCACATGACCTTCGCTGAGGCGACGGTATCATGTACCACTCCTTTGCTCGTTATAATGTTAAATGTTATGACAGGTGCACTATCATTCTTTTCCCCTGCCTTCTTTTACCTCGTCTTCCTGCATAACTCAACCCACCTTACCCCCACTGTGACATGTCTTGTTCTTTGTTCTAGCTTTCCGCAGGACTATATTACCAAATGTTAGATGTGAGCAGACCAGAGAGAGACGACGCAGACTTTGAGTGTGCGTCGCTTCTGTCTCACTCTGCAGAGTTTTATTGTGTTTGTTTATTATCATCACCTTTTAAATAAATTGCACAAACCCAAGCTGTTTTCTCTCGGATCCATTCATTGAAGTATTTAAATTTCCACTA